CTAGCTCTTTGCCAATGTCTTCAGGATCACCAAAACTGTAGTCAGATCCTTCTTTAGATGAGGAAACAACTTTTGCCTTCAAAGCACGGGATCGGCCATAGTTGGGGCCGTAGATATCTCTCTTCTAAGATAGCTGGAACTCATGTGTGTTGAGCCTCTCAAGTATGTCAGATGGATCGAGATCTTTGAAGTCGGGTGTTATTGATTCACCAGGGCCAAAGTGTCAAATGAGCTGTCAAATGATCTCAGTAGCTTCTTCACAATTTCATGCTTGGTGATCTTAGTGGCGCCAAGACCGCGAAGCTCATTGGTTATATCTGTGAGGCGATCAAACGTGAGCTGGACATTCTCATTGTCGTTTCTCTTGAAGCGGTTGAAAAGATTGCGAAGAACATCGATCCTTGAGTCTCTCTGAGTTGAGACGCCTTCATTGACCTTGGACAACCAGTCCCAGACTAGCTTCACAGTTTGCAGAGCACTCACACGGCCATCCATCCTTTGGTCAGATGACCACAGATGATGTTCTTGGCAGTTGAGTCCAGTTGCGCGAACCTCTTGACATCAGCAGCGGTGACACCTTCACCAACCTTGGGAACGCCTATCTTAACGACATACTAGAGGTCGATGTCAATGGCTTCAAGATGCATACGCATCTTATTCTTCCAATAGGGGTAATCAGTGCCATCGAAGACTAGGCACGCAGCAAAGACCTTGATTATCCTTATAGTCGACATAGCTAAAACTCTAGGTGATTAAACCGAATCACACAGAAAAAGGTAGCACCTTGCTCTGATACCAATTGAAAGTGCTAGTTATCGACTAAAGGTGGGTGAATAGGAAATTTTTATGAAAGTCTTCAAGACACGAGGTCTTTTGAAGACAAACAAGTAATAGAACCTAAATGATATGCATCAGAAGATGAACTACAGTAGACATGCCATAGTCAAGTAAGCAATGTAGAGAAAGCACGAAGACTAATAGCAGCTAGGTAGTGCGGATTGGAATTGAAGACAGTGTGAAGCCAAACAGGTAATAGTCTTCGCACAGTGAAGTTAAATAGATCGGACAAACAAGCAATGACTTCACGAAGACAAACTGAAATGTAAAGAAGGTAGAGGATAGAACCAGTAGCTTGGTGAAGACAAGGATTTGGTAGACCAGTTCCAGTTGCTGTGACAACTGTACGTCTGGTTAGGGAGGCTGAGATTGAACTCAGAAGAGTGTGTCTTCACCTTATTCCCCTTGAGCTAAGGACACCCAGTCCTCGCCCACTCACTCTAGTAAGTCTTCAAGGTAGACTTCCAAACCTTCACAGACTCCATTCGCTGGCGATCCATAACGACTCTTGGATCCTCAGAACGTGACGCCTAACCGGCTGGAGGATGCACAGTCTTCAAGTGTAACAAGTCTTCATGTCACACGGACAGAAAGACTTCAGTGATGCCTAACACTCTTTGGCTCTGGGTGTTTTGGGCTTTGTCCTCGCAAGGATCTCTCTCTCAAAGACTTCGGGGGTGGGTTGCTCTCAAACGACAAAAGTCATGCACTAATTCTGAGCAGCCACCAATTGATGGTGTAGGGGGGGGGGGTTATTTATAACCAGGACGCAACCCGACATGATATGTCCGAAATGACCCTGGGTCACTAAGGAACCAACACGTGTTCAACGGTCGGATTTCAAACACACGCGGCAGCTTGGCTTGGGCTACAAGCAAAGCTGACTCATCGAATTGTGGATAAGATTTGCTCTCATTGTCTTCGCTCGAAGACATAGGATTTTGGTTGAGCATCACTTCAGTCAGCTGACTTTGTTCATTTGGACTCCACTTAACAGTATGGTGGTTCCTATGAATCAATAAAGAAGAAAAGGAAACTACGAAAGAAACTATGTCTTCGCACTCCATAGTCTTCAAGTGAATGTCTTCACAGGTCATTATTTTCAATGTGAATGTCTTCAGGAACCACCATTGTCTTCAATGTCTTCATACATTTTTAGGGATAATCTCTGGTAGGTAAACCAAATCAATGAGGGACTACTACCTATGTCATCCTGCAATTCTCACAAACACATTAGTCCCTCAACCATGTTTGTCGTCAGTACTCCAAAACCAACTAGGGGTGACACTAGATGCACTTACAGTGGTAAACCCTAGAGCCACTAAACGAGGAGTCCCTCCCGCATGCACTGGTGAGCAGCGTAGGATTCACACGGTCGCATGCATACAATACTAGTAGAGCGGAGTATTAATTAGCTATGAGTAATTGCATTGACGCCTTAAATCATGTCTATTTTGGAAACACACGTAAATCCAACCGTGCCTTCTGAACCGTGACAGAGGGAGTAGTGAAAGAGAGTGCGACGGCCCTCGCTGATAAATGATGTGCCATCCTCGTAGGTGGAGCCCTTGTTGAAGATGTCTTTGTTGACCCAGCCGCGCTCGTCGCCACTGCCGGTAGCTGCGGAGGAGAGCAATAGTGCACATAGGTCTTATTGGTTGTGCATTCATCAACAATCAGGGAGTATGGGAAGACGGCGATGGAATGGCGACCAGGCCCGTGTGCCAACGCCCAAAGAGATGGAGCCATGGAGGCTAGGTAGACCGCCATGTTTGCCGGAGGAGCAGAGGAGTATACCAACGGCGGCCCAACCGCGTAGAGAGGAGTACAAGGCGAGGCACACCTGCGGCCGTCTAAGAGGAGTGGACTTCATGTCGAGATGGCCTGCGGTCGCCAGATTCTGCTGTAGGGAAAAGTGAATTCTTTTGTTTTGAGCAGGAGATCGGAGTTGTGTGCAGGTAGGGGAAAAGCTGACCTTTTCTTATGGAGCGTTGCTTCCATTAAATAATCTCGTTTTCATTTTTATGTGGGAGATCGAGAGGCGGGATTTTGAAGGCGAGAGGTTGTTCGGCTGACTCTTACGCTTAGGAAGTGAACCATTAGTGTTTAAGAAAAAGAAACTGAACTATTAAGAGAGAGTTTGTTTGGCTCTCACGGTGGGAAACTGAACTATTAATGGGGAACAAAGCTTCTATCCTTGTTAACAAGGTTGTGTGTGGTTCTCCTACTGGATTGATAACCTTGGTTCTTAACTGATGGAAATACTTATCTCTATTGTACTGCTTCATCCTCTCCTCTTCCAGAAAATCCCAATGTAGCACACAAGTAGCATCATCATGCAGCCAGTTACACTTTCTCTCCCTTTCCTCATTGCTCCGACGAACGCGAAGAGGGAGGAGGCTCATTTCCCACTGTCCACCATCGGCGACCAAACCCCGGGTTCCCCTCCGCCTGCCGCCTGGGCGATGGGAGGAGTGGGGAACCTTGGTGCTCCGGTCCCGGCCTTTAGATAGGGCTTGGGTTTGTAGGTCTATCGGCGGCGCTTCGGTGGGTGCAACAACGGAGCAGAGAATGATGTTGCCCTGCTCCAGCTCCAACACATCGATGTTCTCGACGACGGTGACGAGAGTTCATGCGAGGCGCCTTCCTCCGCTCCTTTGCGGTGGAGGATCTGGAGTTCCCGAGATATGTCGACGCGACGTTGGCGACGACAAATTTGGTTTGTTCGTTCGGTTGCGTTTGTGTCTCAACAACATCCTCTGTAGTGTCGGTGAGATGCCGATGGGATTTGTACAGGAAATCATGCTGGTGCTCGTTGTCTCTAGCGATGGCGTTGGTGTGAAGGCTCGAAGATCTACGACCAATCCGGGAATGCCGACTCCTTCTACCTTCCTAACCGTGTGCAAAAAAGGCAGCCCGACTCCGCCGTTGGAGCGGCAGCGCGCCATCGGGGCGTTAGGGAGTGGGAGATGGTCGACTCTTCAAAGACCTAACTGTAATATCTTTGATTTTTAGGTTGTCTTGTAATTCTAGACTTTTGGGTAATAGACTGAGGCTTTTTCGCAAAAAGAAAATGCATGACCCTTAACCCACATTAAAAAGCAAAAGTACATCAGGCTCTCGTACTGAATATCATAGAACACCTTCTCTTTCATGCGAGCGGACTCAAGCTGTACCTAAAGCCGCATAGACAAGAATAAACAGAGTCCGGGTAGGAGTTCTCTCTAGTTTGCAAGAAAAGAAGAGAAAAGGCCCAAGACGATTATTTGGAAAAGATCAACATGGCATTATTGGACACTTGAGTTTTATTTTTGAATATAAATATAAGTTAATATTAATTCTCCTTGATTGCATGCGTCTTGATCACACAACGGCACCAAATAACAACTCCAATAAGCCAGACTCTCTTTCTCCCCCTCCCCGACACGCCATATAATTAGGGCATATAATTGGACGGGGAATGTCAAGCTAGCGAATCACAAACCACCGCATGAACGGCCGCCGTCCAGCCTTGCTCCAGATGGTAGTTCCAGAGCACATGACGCCGCCGTCGGCGCCCAAGTCTCAAACAATCCCCGAAATGAATAGCTCCAAATGTCACCGGCCGACGTGCCGACGGCCGGGGGAGGTTCCGGAGGCAGCATACATATATACCTCGACAATTGCTTTGTCATGAATTATTCTAATACTAATCTAATCCAGAGGCGAACGTGTAATCACGTTATACAAACATGTAATCGCAGTAGTACTATACTACAATATTGCCTCAGATTAGAGCCTAATCTCGCAATTAGTTGTAGCACGCGCGAGCGCGACGGGGACATTCCATTCCCCCCGGATCCGGATGGGACACCGCCCCGTGCCCGGCGGGACCTCAGGAATTCGTAGCACGCTTCGTTTGACCGCGCGGCAACAGCAGCCGCCGCGCTGCGCTTCCCCGGCACGACCGCGTCCACCTCCCGCTGGCTGTTTCGCCCAGACCCGCCAGTGAAACGCCGTGGCCTAACTGCCGATTGCCCGCGTCCGCGACGAGTCAAACTCCCCGACGCGTCAGCGTCTTCTCCCCCTCGCTCCCGGCCCATCCCCTCTGGCTACAGACTGTCGAATGGTGCCAAGCTTCCTCCGCCCCTCCCGCTAGGGTTCCGCCTCCGCGCCACGCCGCCATGGAAGCTTCGCCGCCTCCGCTCCTCCCCCTGCTCCTCCTCCTCCTCCTGGCCGCGGCGGCGGGCCCGAACGCGGCCGCCGCGGCGGGGGACGGCTGCAGCCGGGGCTGCGACCTCGCGCTGGGCTCCTACTACGTCGCGTCCAACCAGAACGTCACCTACATCGCCAACCTCTTCGGGTTCTCCGACTACCGAGTGCTCGGCAAGTACAACCCCGGGATCCCCAACCTCGACTTCGTCGCCGCCGGGGACCGCCTCAACGTCCCCTTCCCCTGCCATTGCCTCGCGCCGCCGTCCGCCCCGGCCTCCACCTTCCTCGCCGCCTCTATCCGCTACGACGTCCACACCGGGGACACCTACATCAGCATCGCCGACCAATTCAACAACCTCACCACCCCCGCCTGGCTGCAGGCCACAAACACCTACCCGGCCAACAACATCCCCGACGTCGGCTCCGTCAACGTCACCGTCAACTGCTCATGCGGCGACGCCGGAATCTCCACGCAGTACGGCCTCTTCCTCACATACCCGCTGAGGGACAGAGAGACGCTCGCCTCCGTCGCCGCCAATCATAGCTTCTCGTCGCCGGAGCAGATGGACCTGCTCAGAAAGTATAACCCCGGGATGGACGGTGTCACCGGGAGCGGCATCGTGTATATCCCAGCCAAAGGTCAGGCTTCACAAATCACAACGCCCTTGTAGATTTAGCCGACTCAACTGTGGCGTGCAGTTTCAGTTTAATTGAACTGGGGATTCAATTCAAATAGTGCTGCTACTCCAAGTGAATTGTGGGGATTTCAGTTAAATTTTACTCCCTCAGTTCCCAAATATAAGTCTTTTTAGAGATTCCAACAAGTGACTACATACGGAACAAAATGAGTGAATCTACACTCTAAAATATGTCTATATACATCCGTATGTTGTATATGTTGTAGTCCATTTGAAATGTCTAAAAAGACTTATATTTAGGAACGGAGGGAGTATATTGGTATAGCTGACTGAAATGGATGAGTATTGGGGATAAATTGCTCTAGAGAAGTGCGGTGTGCAGTTTTATGCTCAGTTGTAGAGTGATATTGGTGCTCTGTTCAAAATTCCTTACGAAGTTATAAAATGGGCACCAGAAACCGTTTTGGATTCTCAAGATCGAGCTATATTAATGTTTGTGGGTTATGATGCCGACCGCATATATTTCTTCCTTCATGTGCCATTTTTGTTGCAACATATTGATTGCTATTGCTTTGTGTTGCTGATTCTGTGGGGCGGGTCATGCCAATTCTGCATACTAGACGATACCCCGTGCGTTGCCACGGAATTGGATATATAGTTTCTAAATATTGTGTAGAATACTAATTAAGTCCTTACATTTAAACTATGTGAGAAATTTCTGCATAAGCAAAAAAAAAATCCTTAACATGAGAAGTTGTGCATGTCACATTTAAATGCAATTTGATTAAAAACCCACTTAAAATGCGCTAATGCATGTTGCATAGTAGAGGATTCTCATGCGTAGACACAGATGCTAGTGGATCAAGCTAGTAAATCTACGAAAATGCTAAAAATCTGACGTCAGATTTTTAGCATGGCAAGTCGAAGGTGTTTCATGGCAATTTATGTTGGCGTGAGGATCACAAATCTGGTTGGTGAGCACGGCAATTTCTGGCAAAAAAATAAACTGAGGCGGATTTGCCATGCTCGCCAACTAAACTTGCCACCCTCGGTAAACATAATTTGCCGTGAAAAAACTTTCAGTTTGCCATGCCTAAAAATCTGATGTTTACTGGATATTCGGGTCCTAAATCTAACGGCTACAACAATTTTAATGATGTGGAAGCACGCATGTTCAGATAATTAGAAGTAGTGGGGATCACTCTTTTAGTAAGAAAACTGCCTAGTATTTCTGGGGGCCCAAACGATCTTTGCATAATTCGTGAATAGTGCTGCTATTCGAATTGAATTGTGTGGAACTTGGTTCAATTTTAGCTTTGTTTAGCTGACTGAAATGGAGGAGTATTGGGGACTAATTGTCGTACTAGGGAAGTGTGTTATGCAGTTTCGTACTCAGTTGTAGAGTGATACTGGTGCTCTGTTCAAATTTTGTTATGAGGTTTTGGATTGTTAATTGTTCGTAGTTCCAGCTATATTAATGTTTGTGAGTAGCAAATAAACTGTTTGAACTCTGGTTATAGTGCTGACCCCGCATATTTCTTTCTTCATGTGCCATTTTGTTGCCACATATTGATATGGTTTTGTCCATGTTGCTGGTCCTGTGTGTTGTGTCATGCCAATTCTGCATGTATGGTAACTCGGTAAGAAAATTTCCTAAATAATTCCTAGGACCAAATGATCTTTGTGTAACTATTAATTTTGAGAAACAAGTTGAAGCGAAACCCTCAATCCGTTTGATGATACCATGTGGTTACAATGTTGACATTGATGTTTAACTCAATTTGATGCAACAGTTGCCATGAATTGCATTAGTTTTGCAGAGGCTGAGTGCGAACACTTTGTTGGTTGTATCATCTTCATGCAAAGTATTGAGTCAATAAAAAATTCCATTATAAAAAAATCAATTACATGTTGCGTAGAATTGATCACGTGTTCCTGAAATATTTTCCTCTGCTTGTTTGGTTTTCCAGATCCCAATGGAAGCTACCTTCCTCTGGAATCATCAGGGTAAGAGTTGTTATTTTAACTTGTATTTCTATCCACTTGATTTTCTCGTCATGTTATGTTTATTCTCATGCAGTTATGCTGATAAGTATCCTCATCTTGTGCAGTACAGGCAGCCTTTGTCCTTTCGCGAGCTAATTATTGCTTGGCGTTAAGGTTTTTTGGAAAGAAAACCGGATGTTGTTGATTCTTGTGAGAGAACTGTGATGTTTATTCATGTTCAACTCTTCACAACAGGGAAAAAAAGTTCAGCAGGAGCAATAGCAGGAGGTGTTGTGGCTGGTGTAGTTGCACTAGTCCTGGCTGTCGTGTTATTCTTGTTTTATAGGCGAAGAAAGGCGAAACAGGACGCTTTGCTTCCATCTTCTGAAGAATCTACCCGTCTAGGTAACAATCAGTTTTGTAGGGATCTCTGACTACTTTTCTGACCCTGGAACTGTGAATTATACTTGTAATTTCTTTTGTAGAAAAGCATTTGCATGTCCTAATTTCACCACTGCAAGTTAATTTATGTCCTTTTTCATCTCAACAATGTTCTGTTACAAAGATACGAGGGGATTTGGGTGGTTTGAAGTAATGCTTGTCTATCGCGTGAGCAATTATATTGATTTTTGTGGACCTGGAAATATTTGGAGTAAATAGAGTGATGTACTATGTTATGATTATGAGTAATAGTTTCAGGGCTATAAGTGTAACCAATGAGCTATGTTAGGGACCTATAAGTGTACTTTTGGAGGACAGAGAAATTTAGAGAACCTCAAATTATGCTTCCATTTTCCCCTTGTTTTGTTCTTCCCTGAACTGAACAGGCCTTGACAAATATTACTACAGAATGTGACTTCTGCTATTTCTGAACTATTATTCTTTTTATTCCAGCCAGTGCAGTATCCATGCAAAAGGTGACACCATCGAGCAGTCAAGCTGACGGAGCTTCACCAGCTGCCGGCATTACAGTTGATAAATCAGTCGAGTTCTCATATGAAGAACTTTTTAATGCTACAGAAGGCTTTAACATAATTCATAAAATTGGACAAGGTGGTTTTGGTGCTGTCTATTATGCTGAGCTTAGAGGCGAGGTTAGTTCATTTTTGTTTCATTTGCATTCCAGAATCCCACATGCCACAAACATGTACTCTATAAAGAAATATAAGAGCGTTTAGATCACTAGAGTAGTGATCTAAAGACTCTTATATTTCTTTACGGAGGGAGTACTTAACTAGGGGATTGAACAATGGTGAAATAATATAACTCTGCGCTGGTCCATGAATTGTGATCATGCAGCGTCATGACATGTTCTTCATTTGAAATGACTTGCTTTATTTCTCTTGTGTCCTCCACTGTCCAGAAAGCTGCCATAAAAAAGATGGACATGCAGGCTACTCAAGAGTTCCTTGCCGAGTTAAAAGTTTTGACACATGTTCATCATCTTAATCTGGTTCGTAAATCTTCTTTTTCTGTACCTAAAAATACTGTTTTTTAATAGGACGATGATATAGATTTTCCATGTGGACGATCTCGTAATTTCACACTATTCTCTAGTCAGGTTAATTTAACCTCTTCACTGCTGTTTCAATGTTCAATTTCATGCAGGTGCGCTTGATTGGTTATTGCACGGAGAGTTCTTTGTTCCTTGTCTACGAATTTATCGAGAATGGCAACTTAAGCCAGCATTTGCGTGGAACTGGTAATGTTCTGCCTCCCGAAATATTGACTCTGCCTTTTCTGTTCCTTCCGGCAAATTAATCTCTCCGCGCATTTGTGATAGGTTATGAGCCTCTTTCTTGGGCTGAAAGAGTTCAGATTGCACTAGATTCAGCAAGAGGTCTTGAGTACATTCATGAGCATACCGTTCCAGTGTACATACATCGGGACATCAAATCCGCAAACATATTGATAGACAAGAACACCCGTGCAAAGGTAGGAATGATTCAAGGAGAATTCATGTGTTTCATATGTTCTGTCCAGTGTCCACCCTTGATGTAATATTTATGTGTATCTTCCAGGTTGCAGATTTTGGTCTAACAAAACTTACAGAAGTTGGTGGTGGTACATCTTTGCAAACACGTGTTGTTGGTACATTCGGTTACATGCCTCCAGAGTAGGTGTCCTGAACATCTACTTCTTGTTGTGCTAACCGCAAAGTATTCCCTGTTTGCGATGAATGTTGACATTTATGGGAAACGGTGTTTGCAGATATGCCCGATACGGTGATGTTTCTCCTAAAGTCGATGTCTATGCCTTTGGTGTTGTTTTGTACGAACTTATTTCAGCCAAAGATGCCATTGTCCGATCAACTGAATCTGCCAGTGATTCAAAGGGATTGGTTTATCTGGTAATTGTGCTGCTCAGCCAACAAGTTACATTCTGCTCTCGATGCTTCATAAAACTGCTAGGGTACCTGTTTTGTGTGTCATTCTGCTTTGTTACTTCTGCTGACATTAGTTAGTTACAGAAGGTCAGATTAATATGGATGTTTTGTTATCCCACAGTTATGCTTTCGAAGCCACCACGTACAGGCTGGCTTTGGAGTGAAATGCGCCATTAGTCCATTAACTCAAAATGATCGCACACTTTAGGCCAATAACTCGGAAGGTGATCAATTTAGTCTATAAACTCGTTTATTTGATCAAACAAGGCCAAAACCGATTAGGGATTGCCACACTGGCATTGCTTGGACCACTCATAAACTGACTTAATTTTTATAGGGGCTTTTTTGCAAGATTACATCGGTCTGCGTTTAAACTAAACATAGGCGTCAACAGCTCAGGTACAAGCCTGCTAACCAACAGAACTATAAGCTGTTTGTGTAGGCCTTGTTTAGTATTGGTTTTTTATTCTTTCTATTTGTTTGGTCAGTTTCCAAAAAAGATTAATACCACAAGTTGCATTGTGTGGGATTTGTACCCACGCTTGACTAGGGAAAGAGTGCCTGCCGACCAGTAGGATATTTAGTCATTTGTTTGCATTGTGTTACAACAAAGTATATATTCTCTGCTCCTAAGCTTAAATACATACACATGAACAATAAAATCTGAACAGGTAGTACAGTACTCCTAGTAAATAATTTTACAAAAACTGATATTTTCATATACTTTGTTGTAACACAATCCTCACTTATGATTTAAGATCCTACTGGTCAGCAGGCCACCTTTTCCCTAGTCAGGAACTGACTGAGCAAATAGAAAGAATAAGGAGCGATAGTAACCAATGGCTACACAAATACCTTATAATTCTCTTGGTTAGCAGGCCTTATACCTGAGCCCTACGACGTGTGTTTGAGTCATGCATGACTTATATTTTTTACACATGGCAGTTTCAATATGAATGCGGGTCAATGGAATCTTGCAAAAAAGTCCCCATAAAAGTTTGTGAGTTTATGAACGATCCAAGGAATGCAACAATAGCCATGTGGATGGTTCTTTCTCTCCCGACTTGGTTCTGGCCGTATTTGATCCAATGAACCAGTTTATGGACTGATGAGGAACAATAGATGAGGAACATGAAAATATAATCATGTCAAATCTGTTTGGCTACTTCTAGATACTTCTGTTGTAGTCTAGTATTTCTTTTCTTTTCTTTATCCTACCTACTGTTTTCTAGAGTCTTCTAGTTGTGAGTAGCTATGAGTAGAATGGTGAACCTTAAATAATGTTTCTAGAGTATTCCAGGTATAAGTAGAAGTATGTGAAGGCTTCCCAAAGCCCTATAAATAGAGGTCCTCACCTCTACTTTGTAACTAGACTATGTACCCCTACCTATAATAGAACTTGTTGTTCTTATCTAAGATCTTGGAGTAGATCTTGTGCCCTAGGAGTTCTGGATTGAACTCTTGCTGCCCTATCCGCCTACATTCGCCTCTAGAGCGATATCTAGCGCAGCATGTTGAAGCTGTTCCTTCAACACTTCTGCTGTACACATTGTAGCAGCAAGGTGGAGTTGCTCACAACCTTTGTGCTGCTTCAGGTGGTATAAGAGCCTCGTTGACCCATAATCGTTCTTGTTGTCCTCTTCGAGAACAAGTTGGAGCAAGCAATGGAGCAATTGGAAAAGAGGATGGATGCTGCTGAACAACAAATCAAAGAGCTGCGTGAAGATCTTAATAGGAGATTTGACCAGCTGGTTGAGATGATAAGAAAGGGTGTCCCCCCTGCTACCAATGAAGGAGATTCATCTAAAGAAGAGGAAGATGTTCATCAAGGAAGAAGGAGAGGTAATCTTGGAGCAAGACCGCCACAACAACATGTTGTTCAACGTGCTTCAAGAAGGCCAATTTATGTTGAAGCTTCTGAAGGTGAAGAATATGATGATGCCCTTGAAGAACCGAATCTCTACGCATATCGGAGAGCACCCAACCCTACATATGCAAGAGATACATACAAGGTGAAAGCTGAGATCCCAAGTTTTAATGGAAATGTTGACATTGAAGGGTGCCTGGATTGGTTATATGAAGTGGAGACTTTCTTTGAGGTCATGGAGGTTTCGAAAGATCGTAGAGTTTCTTTGATCGCATACAAGCTGAAAGGAGGAGCCGGTGCATGGTGGCATCGCGTTCAAGAGGAGCGCAGGCTGAGAGGAGAACCACGTGTTAGAACTTGGCGACAAATGAAAGGCCTCTTGAAAGGAAGATTTTTGCCCGCTGATTATGACCAGATCCTATTTATCCAATTTCAAAATTGTGCTTAAGGAAATAGGACTGTTTCAGATTACACGGAGGAGTTTCTAAGGCTATAAGTGAGGTGCAACCTTGTTGAAACTGAAGAGCAACAAGTTGCAAGGTATATCAATGGTCTCAGTGATGCTATTCAAGATCGATTGATGATGCAACAAATCTGGCCCGTTGATCAAGCACAAGCTCTAGCCTTAAAGGCCGAGAGGTTTGTGAGGATGAGAAAGACAACTAAGGATCCATATCCTCCATATCCTCATACCGAAGGCTCATCTAGGAGCCAACCTAATAGAGTGGAAGAAAAGGCCACTCCACCAAAGACAAAACAGCCCATTCCGAAACAAACTAGAAGCAAGGGTAAGGCAAATGAAGGCCCAAAGTGCTATAAATGTGGTAAAGAGGGACACATATCCAACGGTTGCCCACTAAGGAAATTTGTTAACACGACTATCCATGATGGTGAAAGCGACGAGGAAGAATACGAATCTGAAGATGTAGACGGACAAGAGGTTTGTCAAGAAGAAGGCGAAGAGGTGGTATGTGTGATCTAGCGTCTCCTATGTTCCACACCACAACTCGATGACACACAACGGAAGAAAATATTTGAGAGCAAATGCACGGTAAATGGCAAGGTATGCAAACTAGTGATTGATAGTTGCAGCTGCGAGAATCTTATCTCCCAGAAGTTGGTGGACCATTTAAAGCTTGAAACCCATGATCATCCAAATCCCTACACTATTGGATGGATCAAGAAAGGAGTGAATATGAGGATCACCAAACAATGCAACCTGCCACTTTCTTTGGGTAAGCATTATCGCTCAAATGTGTTGTGTGACGTGGTTGACATGGATGCCAGTCATGTTCTTCTTGGAAGGCCTTGGCAATTTGATGTGGATACTACACACAAGGGCAAGGAAAATTCTTACTCTTTCATTTGGAACAAGAGAAAGATCATTATCTTACCAAACAAAACCGAAAGTAATACCTCTAAGGAGGAGGGTTAAACTATGTTAATTATCTCCCATACCTCTCATGAGTTTATGGAAGACTTGAAGGAGGCAGATTTGTGTGCTGCACTTGTTGTAAAGAAAGAAGAGCACCTGACTGTTGAAATTCCATCCAAGGTATGTGGTTTATTGGCAGAATTTCAGAACATACTTGGGGAGCCACATGGCTTGCCACCGATGAGAGGAATTCAACATAGAATTGACTTAATTCCGGGAGCAAGTCTTCCTAATCTTCCACACTATCGAATGAGCCCAAAGGAGCATGATATATTGAAGGAAAAAGTGGAGGAATTGTTGCAAAAGGGGCACATTCGAGAAAGTATTAGCCAATGTGCTGTACCAACCCTACTCGCGCCAAAGAAAGATGGATCTTGGCGCATGTGTACGGACAGTAGAGCCGTTAACAAGATCACCGTAAGGTATAGATTCCCTATTCCCCGTCTGGATGATATGTTGGATCAGCTTAGTGGAGCAAGAGTGTTCACAAAGCTAGATTTAAGAAGTAGATATCATCAAATCCGTATAAGACCTGGGGATGAATGGAAGACCGCCTTCAAGACAAAGGAAGGGTTGTTTGAATGGCTAGTCATGCCATTTGGACTCTCAAATGCACCAAGTACCTTTATGCACTTAATGAATCAAGTCCTTAGACCCTTCTTATCCCACTTTGTTGTGGTCTATTTCGATGACATCTTGATCTATAGCAAGGATGAGGATGAACACTTTGATCACATTCGGAAGGTGCTAGAAGTACTAAGGGAAAATGAGCTCTACGTCAACTTGAAGAAATGTGTTTTCCTATAAACACAACTTCTTTTCTTAGGATTCGTCATAACATGTGACGGCATTCGTGTTGAGGATTCTAAGGTTGAAGGAATCCGAGAATGGCCAACTCCTAAGACCATTTCTGAGATAAGAAGCTTTCATGTCCTTGCAACTTTCTATAGGCGATTTGTGAAGAATTTTAGCACTATCATGGCACCAATTACCGAGTGTTTGAAGAAAGGAAAGTTCCAATGGACAGAAGCAGCTGAAGCTAGTTTCAATGAGATTAAACAAAAGCTATCACAAGCTCCTGTCTTGGTACTACCTGATTTCAACAAGACTTTTGAGTTGAAGTGTGATGCAAGTGGAGTAGGCATTGGAGCTGTCCTATCTCAAAAAAGGAAGCCCATTGCTTTCTTTAGTGAGAAGTTAAGTGAAGCTAGACAGAAATGGAGTACCTATCAGCAAGAATTATACGCCATTTTCAGAGCGTTGAAAACTTGGAAAGTCTATTTGCTGCCTGAAGAGTTCATTGTTTATAGCGACCATCAATCCTTGAAGCATTTTAGAAATCAAAAGCATGTTGACCGCATGCTAACAAGATGGGCAGCATATCTGGAGAGGTTTAACTATCTCATCGTGCATAAATCTGGAATAACTAACAGAGTGGCCGATGCTTTGAGTCGTCGTGCATGCCTCTTGACTTCTTTTGAAGCTGAACTTTCGGACATGGATCAAATAAAGAAGTTGTATGAGGGTGACGAAGACTTTGGCCATGTTTGGGTAAAGCACGCAAGGGGCCAACCATTAGGTGATGACTATTTGATGCAAGATGGATATCTCTTCAAAAATGATCGTTTGTGCATTCCAAGAAGTTCTCTACGTGACAAGCTGGTTAGAGAGCTCCATTCAAGTGATCTTAGTGGTCATGTTGGACGGGACAAGACTATCGCTAACCTGGAAGCTCGCTACTTTTGGCCACAACTAAAGAGAGATGCTGGAAAGTTCGTTCAACGGTGCCCCGTATGTCAGACCTGCAAAGGCCAAGTCCAGAATACAGGGTTATACATGCCTTTGCCTGTTCCTGTTGCTCCACGGGAGGACATTTCTATGGACTTCGTCTTGGGCTTGCCAAGAACAAGATGAGGAAGTGATGCTGTATTTGTGGTCGTGGATAGATTCTCTAAGATGGCTCATTTCATCCCATGCCGCAAGACAACGGATGCTCATCATGTGGCAAACCTATTCTTTCGAGAAGTGGTCAGACTTTATGGAGTTCCAAGGTCTATTGTCTCAGACCGTGATAGCAAGTTTCTTGCTGCATTTTGGCTCACTTTGTGGAAGCAATTCAACACTTAATTGAAATTTTCTAGCACTGCTCATCCACAAACAGATGGACAAACGGAAGTGAACAAGTTTTTGGGTAATCTGATCCGTTGCATTTGTGGAGAAAGAAGGAACAATGGGATTTGGCTTTATCTGTTGCAGAATTCTCCTACAATAAGCATAAATCCACAGGAAGGAGCCCTTTTTTCATTGTCTACACTAAAGTTCCATCACATGTGGTGGACCTGGTGAAGCTACCATTAAGGGGAAACTCAAAATCAGCATTGTCCTTTGCTGATAATTACACCGAGTTATTTGAAGAGATTCGCGATTCTTTGGAAGCACAAAATTAGAAATATAAACAACTTGCTGATTGCAAAAGGAGGCCAAAATCATTTCAAGCCGGTGATAAGGTGATGGTCTACCTCCGAAAAGAGAGGCTGCCTTTAGGTGTTAAAGGGAAACTTAGGCAGCGAAGGTATGGACCCTTCTCTATCGTGAGAAAGATAAATGATAATGCTTATGTGATAGATCTTCCAAGCGATATGGGTATCTCCAACACTTTCAATGTTGCAGACTTGACTCTCTACCATCCAGAAGAAGCGCTCTATGAAGATAACTCGAGGGCTAGTTCCAAACAACCAGGGGAGAATGATGAGGAACAATAGATGAGGAACATGAAAATATAATCATATGTCAAATCTGTTTGGCTACTTCTAGATACTTCTGTTGTGGTCTATATAGTATTTCTTTTCTTTTGTTTATCCTACCTACTGTTTTCTAGAGTCTTCTAGTTGTGAGTAGCTATGAGTAGAATGATGAACCTTAAATAATGTTTCTAGAGTATTCCAGCTATAAGTAGAAGTATGTGAAGGCTTCCCAAAGCCCTATAAATAGAGGTCCTCACCTCTACTTTGTAACTAGACTATATATCTCTATCTATAATAGAACTTGTTGTTCTTATCTAAGATCTTGGAGTAGGTCTTGTGCTCTAGGAGTTCTGGATTGAACTCTTGCTGCCCTATCCGCCTACATTCGTCTCTAGAGCGATATCTAGCGCAGCACGTTGAAGCTGTTCCTTCAACACTTGTGCTGTACACATTGTAGCAGCAAGGTGGAGTTGCCCTTCACAACCTTTGTGCTGCTTCATGGACTAAATTGGTCGCTTCCTGAGTTCTTCTGCAATCACTTTATGTTAATGGACTAAGAGCATCTCTAGCAGACCCCTTAAAACGCACAAGACTGTAAAATAACCGCCGGTTTACAGTTTTAGGCCGAAAAAGCGACCCGAATAGAACCAGTAAACGACTCTGACCTATATATTTTTGGGTGTGTCTAGGGCACATCTAGATGTGCTCTAGTTATTGCACATCTAAGTGAATGAATCAAACATAAAGAGAAAAAGAAAAAAGAAAAAGAAAATATTCACGCGAATCTCGATGTAAGATCAATGACATAGAACTTAGATGTGCGATACTTATGGCACATCTAGATGTGCTTTAGCAAAACTGTATATTTTTTAAAGGGCGCGATAAAAAGCTCCTCCCGATCTGCAAAAATACAGTTTTCGCGTCCGCTTCTACGGTGCTCTGTATCGGAAGAAAGCAGTTCGCGAGAGCCCAACTGTCACGGAAACATCCGCGTCCGCCGTCCGTGCCGCTCTGGACGCAGGCCGCCCGCCCCGGCTGCCGCCCACACGCGTCTCTCTTGACGGAGGAGCTAGCTAGCTCCTAACTGGATCGATTGGAGCTGGCTACGGCGGAGGAGCTAGCTAGCTGGCTGGCTCCTGGATTGATTGGAGCTCGCTCCTGGATCGATTGGAGCTCGCTACGGCGGAGGAGCTAGCTAGTTAGCTCCTAGCTCCTGGATCGAATGGAGCTGGCTATGGCTGAGGAGCTAGCTCCTGGATCGATTGGAGCTGGCTACCCCGACGGAGGAGCTAGCTCCTGGATTTGGCCGCTTCGTGCGCTCCGTATTTGGCCGTCGGCGGCTCTGTATTTGGCCGCTTTTGTGTGCTGTCCACTGGCTTTGTAGGAGACCGTGGACACGGGCGAGAGGAAGAAGACGTGGGAAAAAAATGTGAATATTCGGTTTTACAGTTTAAGTTTGAGGGGTCTGTTCGGCCGCAGCTCAAACCGACCCTTAAAACGCGTTTTTCGCGAACTGAAAGTTTCACGGTTTAAGAGGCCTGCTGTAGATGCTCTAATGGCGCATTTCACTCCTGGCTTTGGGTGCTTGCTGAAATTATTTGCCTTGCTTGTTTGATGACTTTACCATACACTGAAATATCTGTAGTTTGAGGAGGCTCTCAATGCACCGGATCCGAAGGAAGGCCTCAAGAGGCTGATCGATCCAAAGCTAGGAGACGATTACCCCATCGACGCCATTCTCAAGGTTAGAAAAACTTGCTCGGGCACAGCGGTTCCATTGCATATATCTTGCTTTCGTTGCGTGGTTGGATTGGATATATGGCAGCCAGGATAAAACATTTGCTGGCTTGTGGTTGCAGATGACGCACCTGGCGAACGCATGCACACAGGAGGACCCCAAGCTGAGGCCGACAATGAGATCCGTGGTGGTGGCGCTGATGACGCTGTCCTCCACGAGCGAGTTCTGGGATATGAACGCCCTCTACGAAAACCCGGGCTTGGTGAACCTCATGTCCGGCAGATGACCTCCTCCCTCAGCCACATGCCTCCCCTGGCGTTGTACATCGGGGTTCTACAGTCAAATGCGGGACGATAAGGCGGTAGTGACAGCCTGACAGCGTCGATTGTTTTGGCTATATATCTTCGACGTGTAATTCCCCATTGGCTCGTTTCGAAAAAAAATCACATCGGTATAGATTCTTTTTATTCTCCTTTTATTTATGTCCGAGTTCATATTTTTCTTCTTGGAGACCTTAGCGCCACGTTCATGTGAGTAGTATATGTCAAGTGTAAGTAATATATGTACGTACGTGTTTATTTTGACATGGCAATGGAAATAGCTATAGGCCTTGTAGAGATAAGTCTAGCCCTTGTGTGGCAATAATCTTGGCAGTGGATGCGTGGAGTCTCTTTTCCTCCGTGGGAACTAGGGAAACAGTATAAGAAAGAAATATTGGCAATGCATTAATACTAGCACAGTACTTGATTGCTCCGTTGGCTGCTTGCTCCAGTAGCTTTCTACCGCTAGCTCGTCGGCAATCGGTGGAGACGTTGGACGTGTGATATTGGCGCTACGTGGAGATATAGTCAGAGATGTACAGTGCTCGTCCCGGGAGCAGATGGCAGATTAGCGTTAGCGGTTTTCCATTTTCTCAAGCGAGTTTAACTTTCTGTTCGACGTTGATGGTTAATCTGATGATTCAGGATGATTAAACTGCAGGGCCTCAGACCGTTAAAATATCTTACTAGCAGGAATTACACACAAGAAATTGATATGGCCGAGTTGGTCTAAGGCGCCACTGTCAATACACATTGTACCCTTCTTTTTCCTTGGCGCAAGATGAGATTTGCAAATAACAGGCGGCAGCCAGGCTTCCAAACCGTGGTACTGACAGCGCCATGTATGTCGACGGTCCCGAGAGCCCAGTCCCACATGGGCTCAACCTCAACGAGTTCCACACTATGCGTGCACGTTTCGATCAATGGCTGATGCCTTAAATAAGGCTGGTATGTGCTTCCTTCCATTGTCATTCATTAATTTATTATTATTCGTTATTGCGCAGTATGTTTCTGAGCTGTTTATTAGGTATTAGCTTGGTCTTGGTTTATTGGTCCCTTCATATTTTGTGTTAAATTTTTACTATAGATTTAACTAACAAAATGTTAGTGCATATCGTAAAAAATTATATCGCCAGATTCGTATTTGAACTAGTTTCTAATGATATTATTTGTTGTGACATGCAATAACATTGTTCGTTAATCAAAGGTCAAAGTTTGGCGCAAAAAATACAAAGAGGACCCATACACCAGGACGAGGTGGTACGCTGTATGTACTCCAGCTCCAGTAGCGCTCCATATCTCACCTCAACGCTGGCGGTGAGTATTTGCTATCGTGGCCTGCCGTTTCTAGAAGGAATTTCCTTTCTTTGGTACTAGTACTAATGCAAATTTAGCACGACCGTATTTACTCAAAATAGGAAGAAACAATAGATTTGCAAAAAAAGAATCCAAACACTATCCGTCCAGCATGGTGACAGCTTCTAGAAAGAAGAAAGTGTGAACCGGCTCGCCCGCGTTCATAACTTCATCCCCATTCCCTCATCAAAAAGGAAAAAAAAAACCATCCCCATACGCAGCGACGCAAGCGCTGCCGTAAGCGCCCGACGCCGCGTGGCCTCGCCCCGCACCCTATAAGTTCTGTTGGCCACCACACCAACCGTACAGACTCCCACAGCCCAGCCGCAGCTCCTCCGCCTCCTCCTGCTCCTCGGCCCCCTTCCGTCCATCCCTCCTGGTACGCGCCGTCCGTCCCTCTGCTTCTAGCTCTGCTCCCGTCTTCCCTTTGGTTCC